AGAAGAGTTGTACACTAAGCCGCGGTGGTGCGACACCTGGGACGTACCAAGCACAGACAGTGTGAGTGTGCGTGCAAATGAGCGTATAGACAGGTGTATGTACAGGTCATAGCACAGAAGAGTTAGTACACTAAGCCGCGGTGGTGCGACACCTGGGACGATACCAAGCACAGACAGTGTGAGTGTGCGTGCAAATGAGCGTATAGACGTGTGTATGTACATGTCATAGCACAGAAGAAGTTGTGCACTAAGCGCCAGTGGTGTGATGCCTGAGAGATATTAAGCACAGACAGAGTGAGTGTGGGTGCAGGCGAGTACTATGCCGTGCGATATATGGACATGTGAAGTACAAGCAGAGTGAGTGTGTGTACAAGTGAGTGTCTAGATGTGCTTCTCGACAGATCAAGGCTCACGAGAACACGAAGGATTCGTACATCAAACGTTTGATGTGTGTCTGGAATTGCCTCGAGATGAATGCGTATGTATGCTATGTGGCGAAGATACGTGCGAAATCGAGTGGGTAGGTCTGTGTGTGAGTGTGGACAGGTGTGTCTGTGACTGTGGTGGCTGGGGGTATCCAAATAGCGTGTACGTATACACAGATGCACACGTACATGGCTTTGACAGTGGTGGTGAGTATCTGATGCCTATAAGCGTTCGGTGACGAGTTCGTACTTGTGGTTGGGGCTGACGGAGTGGTTGTGCGTGATATAGTTTTAAGTACATGTTGAATGTGGGTGCTGCCGCGTGAGGACTATTGTGTGAATACTGGTGGTAGTATACGCGTGTGTATATGAGTGTTGAGTTGGGACGCATATGCGCGGACATACATCAAAGTGTCTATGTCTGAGGTATATAAGAGATACGCCTACAGTACAACTGAGAAAAACACGTGCGCCGCAACGGGTATAATCATCGAGGTTCATTCTGAACGCCATAAATGCATGTTTATATACTCACGGCAAGCGTACGGAGACGTGTAGCCTCGCAAATGTAAACAGTTTTATTACTTGAATTGCTTATAAACCTTAGTGCGTATTGACACACCTGTGCGATCACAAAGATACAATCGGGACGCAGCATGAATGTTCAAATGGTGCGCAAATCCACGACAGATCGGCCTTGCCTTATCCTACCAACGTTTATACGAAAGAATCCACTCACATATTCTATCGGCTTTAGATATGAAAAGTTGATACAACCGCACAATAGGCATATGCACAAGTGCTATGCTCTTGAGCACATTGAGACCGTTCTTGTGCGTAAACGTGCCAGGCAAAGCACATACATAGTTCGCACCTGTGCATGGACTTTGGAATACTTCCTTCACGGGACACGCATAGATTACACCCCAGGATACGCCACCAACACTCGAGAACCCAAATACACCCCACTATACACCGACGAGTTACACATAGCACGTGGCATCACCTACCGCAATATGTACGACAAGGACACTATCAGGCCAAGTGGACCACAAATGAACTACCAACGCACAGTTGTAGCTCACGAGCAACACTTCACGTGAGCTACAAACAAGCTGTCGACAGAAACACAGACACAGACACACACACACACTCACACACACACACACACACACACACACACACACACATACATACACACACACACCTCCCCCTCCCAGTGCAGCATGGCCTGAAATCGCAGCAGCACCTCCTCAATGCATCCGTTGATAGTTATCTCCGCACTAAGGTCCTCCTGACTGCCCTTCCCACTCACACGCGACTCCGGGTCTACTTCCGAATTTAGGCCCAATTCCGAGCCCGAGTTTGCCCTACCATTTCCCCCCTCAGTACCTAATTCTGAGTTCTGATCTTCACTACTATCGCCCTTGCCAATTGTACTGAGAGATGGTAGGTGTGGACGCCTGCGGGTTACATCACACATCTCCGTGATGAACTTCGTTCGCAACGAAGCAGCCTGTCTGGTCGACATAAACGCGTCCGATTCTATCGACGGCAGAAACTCGTCTCCACTGGCACTATCCGCCCCAGGTGAAGCTCTTCCCGTACTATCTGCAGGTTGAATCTCGCGCATATGAGGGTTGCTTGCGAGTTCAGTAGTGCGCTTGCGGGTGGTGAATGGACTGAAGGGGACGGCGGAGTGGTAGGCTGTGGTACGAGTGCTACATGCATGCGCCTCCTTCGGGCGTTTACAGTCACCGCAGCTGCCTGGCTGATCCACATCGTCGACGAAGTAGAGACACAGCGATGTCTTTCTGGGCTGGTCCTCCGACATGGTGCTTAACCGTGGGAGTGCAGGTGCTTATGAAATGTATGTTATAACATTAGATATCAATCGTATTGATCGTGAAACATAAATACCAGCAGACCTAAAAAGCAACGCATAAAAATATTACATATAGTATTACATATGTGGTAGCTTTTGTGGTATGTCTGAGGTCTCTTGGTGGTAGTTTTGTTTATCGAAAAAAGTGATGACTCGAATTTGAATATGCGACGAGAATTTGGGCCGAGTTTAATATTCGACGACTCAGGATCCATACTAAATGAAAGGGAAAAATCAGTTACATACGGCAGAAACCATTCAAATGTTTCAAATATATTAAATTTCAGAATAATGGTGACCGATATATTACCCCCTTTTCCACACTGATAATTCCACATGTCGTTATACTATCTTTATCCCCAGTCAACAGACCTTTAGAAGACACCCAGTGTATGATATTTAGTATTGTTAAATTTCAAGGTGGTAATATAGAGCATACGTTGACGTGAGCGGTGAGGTGTAACTTGTCATCAAATACACAGACCATTCACCCGTGTTGGCGTCGTAATGACTGTTTTGCTGCATCTTTACAACATCGTATGTGATCTATAGTCACTGTGTGGTAGAGAAATAACTATAGCTGACCGACAACTCAGTAACATCTCCACAACCACGAACACTTTGCATTGCTGAGGTTATTCGGATTCGGTTCAAAGCAGTTGTGGAGAAAGCGACTTATACAGATCAGCCGAGATGCCGAAGCAGCAGTTGATCGACGATGGAGCGCCCAAAAAGATGTACGTACCTATAATATTATGGAAATCATCCACGGAACGTATTCGCTATAGATTGTTATGTACATATACATACAAATATTAAATTGTTATATCATACTGTTGTATTGTATTGATATATATATATATATATATATTAGTAAATATAATACACACACACACACACACATATATATATATATATATATATGTATATATATACATATACATATATTCATATATATATTATAT